TATTGTCAAAACCATATTTTTGCACTGAGCTTACATGTTAATAATTTTTGATGTCCTAGTGTATGAGTCAGGGTATTCTAATGTAAAACATCTGATAGATATATATATGAGCATTTATTAGAATGGGATACATGTTATGGTCCAGGTATTCCAATCATGACTATCTTATGTCAGAAAGGTAGAGAATCCTATAGTGGTTCACTGCATGGAGAATTGATGTCTCAGCACCTCCAAAGTACAATTGATTCTAAAGGGCTCTTAATAGCTACTGACTTTGAGTGTATATTGGATTCCTGGCTTAATTTCAATTTCTATTGCTGCAATGAAGCACCATGATCTAAAAGCAAGTTGGAGAGGAAAGAAACTATTTGTCATATATTTTCATTAAAGTAAGAATGGGCAGGAGAACAAGCAGGGAATGAAGGTGAAGCGGGAGTTGATACAGAATTCGTGGAGAGGTGCTGGTTATTGGCTTGCTCTTCATGACTTTTTCATGCTACTTTTAGACAATTTCTCAGGTGAAAAGGCATCCATCAAAATGAATTTGTTCTGAATACATTTCCACAACATGGTGGCAAAAAGTTAAAGTATGTAAATAGTCTGAAACCTTGACAGACATGGCAATATGTTAGTCCTTCAACTCAGGAATGACCCAGGAGTAAGGAAGAAGCAGGATACAAGGATGACAGCTCTGTGTGACTGTGGGAGTGTGAAGCTCACTGAGCTGTTGTGATAAGAGCTGTGGGCTGCTTCCCACCTCCGGGCTCCCAGCTACCAGATAGCTTATGCCCCAAAATAACAACACACAAATTTTATTCTTTTAAACACTGCTTGGCCCATTAGCTCTAGCCTCTTATTGGCTAATTCTCACATCTTGCTTTAACCAATATATAGTAATCTGTGTAGCACCACGAGGTGGATTACCAGGAAAGATCTTAACCTGCATCCATCTTGGAAAGAGAGCTATAGCATCTGCCTGACTCAGCTTCATTCTCCCAGCATTCTGTTCTGTCTACTCTGCCTATCTAAGCTGCTGTCCTTTCAAACGGACCAAGGCAGTTTCTTTATTAACCAATGAAAGTAACACATAAACAAATGACCCTCCTCCATCACCCAGCCATGCCAGTTATGGGACCACCACATATGCTATGAGGTCTATGGGGGCATTTCCTACAGTTTGCCCTGAGTTCCAGTTCCTCCCCTTTCCAGTTTCCTCCTCTAACCCAGTAGGTACAATTGGCACTTCTACCATATTACTGTGTAAATCCAGAACCATCCATAGTTTCAAGAGAACTCAAATAGATCTCACCTCCAATATATATTTCCTATATCTACAATCAGTCGGGAGAAAATCATCTGATATGAAAAACCCTCCAATCAGGTCTTACAAATAGGCACAAGTTGATATACCATCAGGCACTATCCTTCTATGGGTGGTTTATAGAAAAGTAAAATTAAAACTGAATAATTCATTATTTTATTGAGCTCTACATTTTTCTCTGCTTCCCTCCCTTCCTCTCCCCTCCCTCCTTCAACCCTAACCCAAGGTCCCCATGCTCCCAATTTACTCAGGAGATCTTGTCTTTTTCTACTTCCCATGTAGATTAGATCTATGTATGTTCCCTGGGATTGTGATTTGTGGGCTGGTTTTCTTTGCTTTATGTTTAAAAACCACTTATTAGTGAGTACATCTGATAATGGTCTATCTGGGTCTGGGTTACCTTACTCAAAATGATGTTTTCTAGCTCCACCCATTTGCCTGCAAAATTCAAGATGTCATTACTTTTTTTTCCTGTGTGTAGTACTCCATTGTGTAAATGTAATACATTTCCCTTATCCATTCTTTGGGTGAGGGATAATTATGTTGTTTCCATGTTGTGGCTATGACAAACAATGCTGCTATGAACATACCTGAGCACATGTCCTTGTGGCACGGTTGAGTATCCTTTGGATATATACCCAAAAGTGATATTACTGGGTCTTGAGGAAGTTTGTTTCCTACTTTTCTGAGAAATTGCTACACTGACATCCAAATACCAGTTTGCATTCCCAACAGCAATGCAGGAGTGTTCCCTTTACCCCAAAACTTCTCCAGCATAAGTTGTCATCAGTGTTTTTGATCTTAGCCATTCTTACAGGTATAAGATGGAATCTCAGATTTGTTTTGATTTGCATTTCTCTGATGACTAAAAATATTGAACATTTCCTTAAGTGTCTTTCAGCCATTTTAGATTCCTCTGTTCAAGTCTGTACTCCATTTTTTATTGGATTATTTGCTCTTTTGATGACCAATTTATTGAATTCTTTGTATATTTTGGAGATCAGACCTCTGTCTGATGTGTGGTTAGTGAATATCTTTTCCTATTCTTTAGGCTGTCATTTTGTCTTATCGAGCGTGTCCTTTGCTTTACAGAATCTTTTCAGTTTCAAGAGATCTTATTTCACTCATGAACATTGGTAAAAAAAAAAAATACTCAATAAAATACTGGCAAATCAAATCCAAGAACACATCAGAGCCATCATCCACCATGTGGTCGACTTCATCCCAGAGATACAGGAATGGTTCAACATATGAAAATCTGTCAACATAACCCACCATAGAAACAAACTGAAAAATAAAAACCATATGATCATCTCTTAGATGCCAAAAATGCTTTCAACAAAATACAACATCCTTTCATGATAAAGGTCTTGGAGAAAACAGGGATGCAAGGAACATACCTAAATAAAATAAAGGCAATATCCAGCAAGCCAACAGCCAACATCAAACTAAATGGAGAGAAACTCCCAGCATTCCCACTGAAATCAGGAATGAGACAAAGTTGTCCACTCTCTTCATATCTATTCAACATAGTTCTTGAGGTCTTAGCTAGAGCAATCAGACACTAAATGGAGATCAAGGGGATATAAATCAGAAAAGAAGTCAAACTCTCACTAATTGCTGATGATATGATAGCTTACATAAGTGATCCCAAAAATTCTACCAAGGAACATTCACAACTCATAAACACATTCAGTAATGTAGCAGGATACAAGATTAACTAAAAAAAAAAAAATAGTAGTCCTTCTGTACACAGATGATAAAAGGTCTGAGAAAGAAATCAGAGAAATATCACCCTTCACAATAGCCACAAATAGCATAAAATATCACGGAGTAACTCTAACCAAACAAGTGGAAAACTTGTATGACAAAAACTTTAAATCTTTGAATAAAGAAATTGAAGAAGACACCAGAAAGTGGAAAGACCTCTCATGCTCTTGGATAGGTAGAATTAGCATAGTAAAAATAGCAGTCTTACCAAAAGCAATCTACATATTCAATGCAATGCCTATTAAAATCCTAGGGATAATTTAAGACAAAAAATAAGGTTCACCTTTGACTGAGAACAGGACTATACTCTTATTACACATAATAGTAGTATTTATTAAATCTTACATTTTTACCTGTACCTTACCCTTATTCAGATATCTTGCTGAACATTGCCCAAAGCCATTCTATTCTTCAAAATGAATATAGACTTTTAGCAAAAGCTGTTTATACTAGAATATACTAGTTTTGTTTAATACAGATATTCAGGTCTACATTTATCAGCCTTAGTGTCATCATGACCTGTATTTCCATTATTATTTGTATAATCTCCATGTTCCTTGGTGACCTTAATATAACATGACCATGAAGGGCAAATATCTTGAAATTGAGATCAACGTAGAGCATTGTATTCATGTCTACTCCACTAATCAAATCTCACCTTTTCCCACCCACTGTGTCTAAAATCCATGATCCAGGTTATAAATCAGAGCATCTAAAAGCCAACATGTGTTAGGAACTCAACATCCTTTTCTAGCATCATTGGTGTTTATTGTTGGACCACAGAACTCTTACATTTCCATTTCCTATTAAGTAGATTGAGAACACGTTAGAGTAAAGAAGATTAGAGACCATTCATAGGCTATTCAGGAGTGGTAGGTTTCATAGACACCCTCTATCTACAAGAACTAGACCTTCTTGAAAGTTACAAAAAATAAACCAATTTTTCAACAAGTATTTCTAAGCTGCCCATAGAGTCTTTGTGTGGAACCTCAAATCCTATGTTATTTATGAGGGACAGGGTGTTCCTTAATTTCTCTTAGTAATTCTGCTCAAAGAATAATATCAACTCATTAGAAGGGTAATATAAATCTGAGGGATCCACCTTCCAACATTATAATAAATTTGCCTCTCCCTTTATCATCATTCTAGTGGCTTTTCTGATAAGGATGATGAAAAGATCACAGAGGCTACCCTGTCCAGAGAAATTTGTTCTCAACTGGGTGTCCCAGAACCCTGGCCACCACTTCTCTGGAGGTGTCATCATCAAAGACCAGTGACTGATGTCTGTGGCTCACTGCTACAAGTCATAATTGATGGTTCTCAGTCTGCAGTGCACAGGAGTGGGGCATCTTTACAATAAGCACCAGTATGGGCAAGTAATAAAATTGTAGGTGAGAGGGGAAAGATGTGTAAAAGAGAAGTTGGTGGTAGCAGTTGATATTCATGGAGTTTCTATGAACATAGGCTCATAATAGAATGGTTCAAACACCATTTTAAAAAAAACTTAAATAGGAAGTAGAATGTGCTTTTAAAAAAGAGACTTATGTGTTACTGTCTGTTTCAAAGAGAATTTCCCTTGATGAGAGAAGAAAACTAAAGTTACCTGTGGACACGTGTTGTAGGAAGTCTTGTAGCTTGTGGCTACCCACCTACTGGGGTGTGGTCTCTTATACTATATATGTGGATGTAACTTATGGCTTGCATTATGCATTTGTTAAGGAGATGATAAAGACTTGGGCTTCTAATATCAGGGAAACCCCTCACAACTTTTTCCAGTTAGTTTCAGCAGTCCTGGATGATGGACCTTTATTGATGTTTAGAATTTATTTCAGGGAGAAGTCCAAAAATATGGAACAACAGGGAAAAGCAAGAGGCCTTGAGATTTCCCAAGATCAAATTCTTGGTGAAGGCCCTTATGCTGACCCACAGGTCCAAGCTTTTTATGACGAAGAAATTTTGTCCCTATGCCACAAAGCAGCCTTAAATGCTTGGGTCAGGATTCAAGAACTAGGAAACATAACTGAACCATATACCAGGGTTAAACAGAAACAGAGAGTTCTTTACTGACTTTTTGCAAAGATTAAGTAAGACATACAAGTAGGAATAACAGACCCAGGTGCTAGAAGTGTAATTTTCTAATCTCTACTTTTTGAAAATGCAAACTACTTAGAAGGCAAAAGATAATTGGGCATTTAAAGGTTATATCAGCACCTATGGAGGAATGGATTTTGCATACAATAAATTTGATTATAACGCTGAATCTTGGGTAGGGAAGCAATTTCCAAAGTAATGAGGAGACATAAAATGGCCAAAAGTTTTAATTATGGTATAATAGGACGTCTGAGAAGGAATTGTAGACAGGGAATTTCTAGGAACAATATCTTCTCTGGGAAGGGCAAAAATAAGAGACCTTGGTCTTCAGATATATGTAGAAGGTGTGGCAAAGGCCGACATTGGATCAATGAATGCAGATAAACAAGGGACAAACAAGGCAACCAAATACCATCAGGAAACTCCTTGAGGGGTCTCTCACAGGCCCCCAAGCCAAAAGTGGTCCATGTGGAGGACATGTCACACTAGGAAAATTTAAAAAATTCAGAGCCTTCTGTAAAAGACCATACTGTTCTAAATGATGGCATAAACATGGTGGGCAAATAACTCAAAAATTCCAATAGGAAATAAGAAACGTATATTCTGGCAAACTTCTATAAATGATCAAAGACCAAAGCTAAGAGTGCATATAAAGGGCATTGTTATTGTTAGCTTGATAGACACGGGTACAGATGTGAGTATCATTACTCCAGAATATTGGCATCCAAATTGGCCTCTTCAAGAGGCAGATGTTCAATTACTAGGAATTGGAACCATATTTCAAGTTAAACAAAGCACAAGATGGGTTAACTGTGTTGGGCCAGAAGGTCCAAAGAGGGAAGCTGAGGCCATATGTAGCTGATATTGCAATAAATTTATGGGGCTGCAATGAAATATGCAGATTAACATTCCTGCAGTCCCAAGAACTCGAAATTCTGGGAAGGAGATAATAAGATACTATGAACAAAAGTCATCAGCCATTCAGGCTGTACAAGAACATAAAGCAACTAGCGAACCTTTAGAGGTTACCAACAGCTGTACCTTTAAAATGGTTAACTGAGAAACCAATATGATTTAAACAGTAGCCTCTAGCCAAGGCTTTAGAACAACTGGTACAAGAGCAACTAAATGTCCACCATAATGAAGAATCAACTAGCCCTTGGAATGCTCCTGTATTTATTGTAAAAAAAATGGTAAATGGAGAATGGTGACAGATCTAAGAGCCATCAATAGGATAATTAAATGTATGGGCCCTCTACAATCTGGAATTACTCTCCCTTCTCTATTACAAAAATGATGGCTTCTTATAGCTATTGACTTAAAAGATTGTTTCTTCACTATACCTTTAAAAGAAAAGGATAGAGAAAAAATTGCCTTTGCAGTGCCTACTTATAATAATTCTCAGCCTACTAGGAAATAGCAATGGACAATTTTCCCACAGGGAATGCTCAATAGCCCCACTATGTGCCATTGGAAATAATATGTAAGCAATTTCCTAAGTCTATAATTTACCATTACATGTATGACATTTTGCTATTTGATTCAAACATAGATACTTAAGAAAGAATTTTTGATTAAGTAAAGAAAGTTTTGCCAAAATGGGAATTGCAAATTACTCCTGAAAAAATAGAGAGAAAATATTCTGTCAATTACCTAGGTTATAAAATAGGCTTGTAGAAAATTAGAACATAAAAGGCACAAATTAGGAGATACTGGTTACCAACTCTTAATGACTTTCAAAGATTGTTAGGAGACCTTTTCAGTCTATGACTGGTTGTTGGGATAACACCTGATTCATTTAAACAAAACTTTAGATCAAAAGAAAGACTTGAACTGTCCTGGTGTGGGAAATTGTATTCTGTCAATTATGTTTTAAATAAATGCTGATTGGCCAGTAGACAGGCAGGAAATATAGGTGGGACAGCCAGATAGGAAGTAGAGGTAGGGCAATGAGGACAAGAGTATTCTGGAAAGAAGGAAGCCCATTCCTCCACAGTCCTGTCCAGACACAGAAGAATGAAGATGTGGCCTGCTCCAATAAAAAAGGTACTGAGCCATGTGGCTAACATATACTAGAATAATGGGTTAATGTAATTTATAAGAGTTACTAAAAAGCCTGAGCTAATGGGCCAATTAGTTTAACACTAATATAGACCTCTGTGTAATTTCTTCGGGGGCTTACCAGCGGTGGGAACCAGCAAGCCCTCATGTTACATAGTCCAAAAGAACTAAGAGCTGAAGCAGAAAAGGAATTGACAATTGTCGAGGAAAAACTAAAGGAGGCACATGTAGACAGGGTGAATCCAAATCTTAGTTTTGTTTTGTTTTTGTAGCTTTATTCTTTGTGTGTGTGTGTATTTTATTTATTTATTTATTTATTTATTTATTTTTATTTAAGATTTCTATCTCTTCCCCACCACCACCTCCCATTTCCCTTCCCCTCCCCCAATCAAGTCCCCCTCCCCCATCAGCCCAAAGAGCAATCAGGGTTCCCTGCCCTGTGGGAAGTCCAAGGACCACCCACCTCCATCCAGGTCTAGTAAGGTGAGCATCCAAACTACCTAGGCTCCCACAAAGCCAGTACGAGCAATAGGATCAAAAACCCATTGCCATTGTTAATGAGTTCTCAGTTGTCCTCATTGTCTGCTATGTTCAGTGAGTCCGGTTTTATCCCAGGCTTTATCAGACCCAGGCCAGCTGGCCTTGGTGAGTTCCCGATAGAACATCTCTCAGTGTGTGGGTGCACACCTCGCGGTCCTGAGTTCCTTGCTCGTGCTTTCTCTCCTTCTGCTCCTGATTTGGACCTTGAGATTTCTGTCCGGTGCTCCAATGTGGGTCCCTGTCTCTGTCTCCTTTCATCACCTGATGAAGGTTAATATTCAGGAGGATGCCTATGATTTTCTTTGGGATCCCCAAGAGAGGCCTTATCATACAACAAAAGTATAGGCCAAATCTCAGTTTTATTCTAGTCATATTGCCTCCAGAATTTCTCCTATGGGAATTTCAATGCAGAGGGAGGATATCATTTTAGAATGGATCTTTTTACCACATAAACCACATAAAATATTAAAAAGTTATGTGAAAAAAGTCTCTGAATTAATTATAAAAGGTAAATTGAGACTTCATCAATTAGCAGGTGTAGACCCAGCAGAGATTATAGTGCCTTTCACTACTGATGAAATAAAATAGTTATGGGTAGACAATGAACCATGGCAAAGAGCTTGTGCTAATTTTTTGGAAGAAATTAATAACAACCATCCCAAAAGCAATAGACTTGGCCTTTTAAAGAGAACTTCTTTGATTCTTCCCAGAATTGTACATGATGCTCCAATAACTGGAGCCAATACATTTTATACTGATGCTAATAAATCAGGGAAGGCAGGTTACAAATTAGAAGAATTAAGGAAGGTAGAACAAAGCCCTTATAATTCTGTTCAGAAGGCAGAATTATATGCCATTCTCATGGTGCTAAGGGATTTTTGAAGAACCTCTTTTTTTTTTATTTTCGAGACAGGGTTTCTTTTTAGCTTTTTTTTTTGGTTCCTGTCCTGGAACTAGCTCTTGTAGACCAGGCTGGCCTCGAACTCACAGAGATCTGCCTGCCTTTGCCTCCCAAGTGCTGGGATTAAAGGTGTGCGCCACCACTGCCCAGCTTAAAGAACCCCCTAATATAGTTACTGATTCACAATATGCAGAAAGAGTTATCTTGCAGATTGAAACCACTGAATTTATACCAGATGATACAAAATTGTCTTCATTATTCATCCTGTGTTGTGATCTAACTGCCCTCACTCCCCTTGACGAAGAGCAGAACTTTCTTGTGGTCTGTAATTGACAAGAATGTTTGTGTTCTTTCTGGCCCAAGGTTTTCCACAGAAGCAGTAGAGGTATAAAAGGTTTTAGCTGGGCAAAATAAAGGTTGCTGGTCTTCCACCTGAAAAGAAGACTCCGTGTCTCAATTCCAGCATCCCCTGCCAGTCTCAGCTATCCTGGCTGCACAGATGTGACAATCCAGGTGCAGGACATAATCAGGAATAGGCTTTGTCCTATATACACAACACACGTCCAATCCCACATAGGTCTGTCAGGCCCTGTAGCACAAAGTAAAGCATAAATTGATCAATTATTAATTGGAAGTTTGTTGCAGGCCTCAGAATTTCATCAAAAGCATAACACCAATAGCAAAGGTTTAAAGAAAGAGTTTTCTATTGCATGGCAACAAGTTAAGGAGATTATACAGAGATGCCCTACTTGCTCTTTCTATAACCAAACACCATGACCTGTAGGGACTAACCCAAAGGGTACTCAAATGAATGAAATCTGGCAGATGGATGTTCCACTTTGCAGAATTTGGAAAATTAAAATATGTATACCACACCATTGACACTTGTTTGGGTTTTCAGTGGGCAATTCCTTTATGATCAGAAAAGGTTGATTCAGTAATCACACATTTATTAAAAGTTATGGCCATCATGGGTACACCTGCACATATAAAGACAGATAATGGCCCAGCATATGTCCCTAGGAAAATGAAATTTTTTTTGCTTAATATAATATTAAGTATATTACAAGTATATGACATAATCCTACAGGTCAAGCAGTTATAGAAAGATTAAATTAAACAAACAAAAAAAGTGGGGAAATGTCCCCAGAAATAGATTACATAATGCTTTATTTACCTTGAATTTTCTTAATGCTAACGAGAAAGAGACAGAGCAGCATAAAGACATTGGTTAATGGAAAAGTTTTCTAAATTAAATCAACTGGTTTAGTTCAAGGATGTGCTGACCTCACAAAGGAAGCCAGAAGATGTGTTACATTGGGGAAGGGACTTTGCT